AAGATGTTGGTTGAATACAAAGTGGAAATGTTATTGCTGAAAGAAAAAAAAGCAACTTAAGCAAGGTGGTCTCAGTACCATGTAGGTTTTGTTTTGTTTTGTTTGGAGTTTCATTACAAGAGACGGTAAAAAATACGGTGTTAGACAATGAATTATGACTTGGATATCGTCACTTTTTCAATAAAGTACAAAAAAAGAAAAGAAATAGACTATTAGTTAGTTACTGATTAATGCGATTTAATTTAGTCGACTTAGGGAGGCATTATGCATGCAGGAAGATAAATTCCTTTGAGTAATATAAATAGATATTCTATACCACCCTTCATGTTGTGACACCTTATTATAAGATGTTTAAATTCATTTAAGGAGAGATACTTCTAATGTATGATTGTTAAAAATTTGATGATAAATTTAGTTGACCGAAGAAAGACATTTGTTGAATTTTATCTAATATGAATAATAATAATGATTTGATTTATTCAAAAACAGTACTCATGGTACAGTGTAGAATTTCGAGCATTTGCTACACTATTGCATCTAATTTTATCGAACAACATTCAAAAACAATTTTAGGGCTAATTTTTACAGGATTGTTAATGGCAGTTCTTATTTGGTATTTGTAGTGGACGAGAAGTCATACGTACATAGAAAAAATTGTAAATAATAATGTTGGCAGCTAAGGTTGTCATTTAGTTGAGATAGTGTCACCATAGATTACAAATAGGAAATAATAAAAGAGCCAATTATTTAGCTAAAAATAAAGTAATTCATTAATTTCAAGCTTTACATTGTCTCTATCGCATAGGAAGCCGGTTGGCCAAATATGGTATAACAAATATTTAGAGCGAACAATTGTTTTCAATAAATTCTTCTTCAGGCTCTACAATTATAAATCCATTAATTTAAGCATACAATAGCCAGCCAGTAAAGGCAGATTAGAATCATATCAGAAAGTGTATTGTGGAACAAGTATACGATAGGATGGAACAGTAGTCAGATAGTTTTTTAATATGCATGGTCAATGAGAACATGGGACAAAATGAGATGAAGTAGTTTAATTTAATGATGTGTGTATATATATAAATGTAGTCAACAGAAAATACAGGTTTCGAGAGTGTGTAATCAGGGTGTGTGAGACAATATGAAAATAAACCAACGAATGGGGCGGACTAGACATAAGTTCAAGGTTGAAAATAACGACAGTAAGAATGATTGTAAAATAATAACGATGATATGGTGTAAAATTACAAGTACTATTGGTGAATGATTGTCAAATAATAATAATGAATATAATGAAGTGGAATGAACAGGATTTTGTAAATACGATAACAAGCAATACTTAAACCTAAGGTAATAAAATCATAAGAAAGGTCATGAAATCATAAAATTCGAAAATGAACCTTTGTCAATGAAACAGAGAAATAGAAGAAGAAAAGAAAAGAAAATTGTGAAAGGAATTTATAGTGTTAATGGAGGATTTGTTGGCTTTATTGTAGGCCAAGGTAAACATAGTGGTTGAACATACTTCGTCTGTATACAAAGAGATGGTCTTCTGGCATTAATTGCCACTGCTTCAGCTACTGATAGAAGACGTAGTTGAGCTCCTCTAGATAAATTACTAGGAACGCGGTAAATAACTGAGAACGCCTGGTCAAGTTTTATTCATTATATTCATTATTATTATTTGACAATCATTCACCAGTCCCTCCTTTTGAGTAGACCAGAAGGGCCTTAGGGGGAGCAGTAAAGTACAGTAGGTGAGATGCAAGAGTTAACAAATTGTAAAAGCAAAAGTCAGGTTATTCCAGATCATTTTAGCTTCCTAATGTAGTAGCTTAGATGGAGCATTTTCTTGAAGATCGACAAAATATGGAATGGCCAATTAGGATAACAGGATAAAACTGTACCAAGGTATCTTTTGTTAGACTTAGTTTCTGTTACAGTCCACTCTATACTACAAGCATCGTGTGTACTAGCCAGTCGTTCTAGATCACTTTATATGTAAAGGAGAAATTAGCATTCTGGCATTTTGAGAGATTTGATGTGAAATCACTTAGCTTAGACCACTGATTGCTGTCCAACTAAAAGCAATTAAGTTTGCAACAGTCTGATTGGGATTTGACAGGAAGAAAGACTGCCATATCGTCAGCATATTTGACGAAGTTGATTTCGTTAGAAAGCGGTAAGTCACGTAAGAAGAAAGAAGAAAGAAAAAGAGAGAGAACATCGCCCTGAGGAACACCAGCTTCAGTAAGCAAGGCAGAGGAAGATTCAACCATATATACACAGTATACTGTATTCTACTTGAGAAATAAGAATGTAATCAGTTAACAGCCCAAGACTCGGTTTGTCTAAGGGAAAGCTTATTTAACAAAAGGCATCTAGGTACTGAATCAAAAGCAAATGTACAGTCGATGGAGGCACAACGTACTTATGTGGCCCTTTTGTCTAAGGAGGAGATAATGTTTTGATGTAATACACCGGCAGCATCTTAAGTACTCCTAACCTGCATATAAGCAAACTTTCCGGATTCATTAGTACCTTTTAAAGAGGGTACAAAGTTGATTGAAAATAATTTCTCTATTAATTTAAAAAAGGAAGCGTTCGTTTAAACCTTTTACAATTTCCTCATTCGATATTCTTTAATGAAAAAAAGTACAGGTAAACTTGAGTAGTTTTAATTCAAGCACTTCGTCTGACTGAAACTAACTAACTTCATCTACCAATTATACTTATGCTTTATATTATATTATATTTGTAAATGGTATTAAGTGGTAAGCAAAAAAAGGATTACCAATGCTTAAGTTATACAGTGAGTTACTCTAATTTTAGTATCATTTAAAATCCTTTTTTTCAACGTATAAAATGAAACACATTTGGTAGATATTTTGGTAGATAAATAAAAAATGCGTTCCTCAAGAGGTAGCTAGCATTTTTCTAGCAATATGTTCCTACACTCGTTATTGATTAAATGTAGAAATTATCTTCATCACAGGCAGAAAGCCGAAATAATGCGAAAGTAAGTGTAATTTGTTTCATTCCTTTACGCTTCAAGTGGAACACCAGGCTTCAGCCTCAAACTTTAAAGTTTCACTAGCAATTTTTTTTTCTTTCCTTCACTTTCCCCAGTGCAACATAGGGCTTCAAGCTAGAGGCTTCAAGTTTCTGTAGCAGTGTTTATTTTACAGGATGGGGTTGCTAGCCTCATGCGCAACCTTTCCTCTTCACCAGCATTATTTCTGGCTTAGCGAGGTAAAGGAGTGCGTCGGCCGGGGATCGAACCCCGGACTAGGTGCATGGTCGGCGAGCGTCCTAACCACTATACCACTGACGCACACTTCACTAGCGATGATATGCTTTATTCACGATACAAGGCTGCTATCTCGAGTTCCAATCTTCCTTTATTACCATTCTTATCAGCATCAAAGCATGGTTTAAGATTGCGTCAACTCGGAATTGAACCTAGGCCACATGTCACGTAGTTGACGAGTATTTTACCAGTGAACCACCTCAGTACAGTATGGTAAATGTAAAGAGACAAAATGGATTTATTGTCGTTGCGTTTTTTAGAAATATTTATGTACTAATTAGTGGATATATTAGTTGTTGTTGTGTTCAGTGGTTACAGTGGTCTAATTGGGAAACTTTCATTCTGCTTTTACACAGTGTCTTCAGTATTAATATAGAAACATATTCTTGAGTATTCTAAAATCGCATGAGAAGCAAACTCTTCACTCTGCGGAAAAATACTTGATATATGTGGACTTATATTCAAAAGACTAGTTACTGAACAAAGAATATTCTTCTTGATAACTTCCTAATCATGTTCTACAGTTATGCGCATCCATAATTAATAGAGTATTATTGTTATTAATATAAGTGTAGAACTGTAGTAAAAACTATCAAGAATGCTTTATTCGGTCACCTCGTCCAAATAGGCCACAAAGCTAGCATTGAAGACGCCTTCTTTACCATCTGTTATATACCGAATAAACTACCAGAAGCTTGCAATCACCGAATACTCCAAACAGCATAAACCACTGCAATTCTCTGAAAACAACCGGAGCTCCATGTGGCAATGAAACAGGACCAGCCATTTTTGCTACCTTGGCTTACTGTGGTACCTATAAATTCATAAATTCTCGGTAACTTCCATTAATTTATTCAATATTCAGTTTAGTGTTATATTTTTATACATATTACCACTCACAGATGCTTTCGAACTGTTATTTGTTACCATTACTGTTTCAGTGTCATTTCAGAGAACATTACTGTTGCTACTAGTAGGAATTCTTGTGTTACTGTGATCATATAATAGTAGAACTTGATGAAGGAGTTATCAAACATAATATTCTTTATTCACTGATCAATTTTTTTTAAATATATATGTTTTGTAAAGACAAATCTGCTTTCTAGTCTAGGAAATATTTCTCACCCTCGAGTGACCATTGCAACTGTGTGGAGAAAACGCTGTTACTTTCATCACCATTCAATTTTTCTTACGTAATGTTAATCCTGTCTTAACTTATCTATAATTTACGGTCTATAAGTAGATAGATGTTGAACAAGGTCATCAGATTTCTGTCGTATATTATAGATTAAAACATGACTATTAGTAACGTGATTTTCGTCCCATTTTGAGACGTTTCGTCAATATCCGCTCACTGCGGCTCAAACCCATGAAGTTATTGTTCCAGGGAGAGCTAGTAGACCAATGTGCCTCAGTGGCATGGTGGTAGAAGGCTCGCCAACCACGTCTGATGTGGTTCGAGCTTTGATTCCCGGCCGACGCACTCCTAAGCCTTGCTAAGTCAGTAATAAGACCAGTAAAGAGGGAAGGTTGGGCATGAGGCCAGCAACCCCATCTCGTACAAACAAATACCACTGCCACCGAAACTTCAAGTCTCTGACTTGAAGCCCTATGTTCCACTGGGAAAGTAAAGGAATAAAAACAATCAGTAGGGTATTAATTAGTTAATATGCAAAAGGCTTAAACTTACTGTATGCTGGGTAATTTGCATCAAATCACGTAATGTCATTTTCTGCGACTTCACAGATTTCTGGTCATCAAGGTGATTTAACTACAAAAATCAAAAAGAATAGAAAAAACTCTAAAAATGCGACAGAGAGAAGTTCATATGAATAAAGTTTCTCACAGACAATATGTGTGTAATAGTGAGTTTTCCCGATCGGAGAAAGTACTAGTTTTAAATAAATCAGTAAAAAGAAATGGAGCAGGATGAAACAGATCCACTGTGTTTGGCGATCTGCTTAAAACTGGAACTACCAAAAACTTACATCTCTCTTTTGCACATATCTTCTCCCGTTCGGTTTGTTTTAATCGGCTGAAATATGACCTCTATTTATTTATTTATTTATTGGAAATGTTCACAAGCTTTTGATTCGCAAGTTCCCGCTAAACTTGAGGAAAGACCTGATTGTGGGTGGCAACGTGTTCCAATTAATACATCAGATAACTGTTCTTCAGTTATGCCCTTGGGTCTCAGAATGTGCTTCTGAACATATAACAATTGGCTTTCAAGTTGATATCGTGGGTTTCTTGGAGCAAGGAGACAAAGCAAATATTAGCATAATGGATTGGTTTGTGCTTCAGCTCAGAGACCATTGTGTCACAGGATATGCTGTAAATTAGTATTATGCTTCTAAATATGATACGATAAACTCCTCTATAAATTCTGTATATTTTATAAATACTATCCAGAATAAAGATATTATTATTTTGTCGGTGTCCTTTGAAGTGCGTACTATCCGTAAAAATTATTTTCGTAAAATTTCAGAGAAATTTAAATAAATATTTCCAATATTTCTTTTTTCAAACTGCTCCGAACTTCTTCGGGGAAATTAATCAAAATTAAAATAACGAAGTCATATTTACATATTTAAAAAGGACGCCTCTTGTCTTAAAGATCTTTGTCCAGTCAGGAGTCAGGAGCAGACATTAAAATATACACAAAATTGCTTTAACTGTGATTAAAATTTGACCACAAACTTACAATTATTAACCTAAAAGTTAATCAGTCTTTAAACCTACAATCTATGCCATCCTTAGGAAAAATACTTTCATCAAATTACCACATAACAGTGAAATAAACGGTAGGATTTTGAGAGAAAGGTTGAATTCGGTCATCCGTAGGACCTATTATACAGCACGGCTTGTAATTTTTGAAAAAGCCAAAAATATGCTCAACTGCATACCTCAAAAGTGCACAAGTGATTATGCAGCATCCCACACTGTTTGCCAATTTGTGTGTGTGTGTAGACACACATACATAGGGAGGAGAAATCGTGCTTTTCATGTGAGGGTGGGAGAGCATATACCGCAATGGTTAGAAAGATAAATGAATTGTGAAAAATCAATGGATGCAGGTACCAGACTACCATCTTCGCCTATAGCCGAACATCTAATCGAGATGAACCATGAAACTGATTTTAATACAGACAGGCTTTAAGGTCATCTATGAAGACGGTCGACGGCGCTTACTGTAATACGCTGAGGCTATAGCTATTCAAAAACAGTTTATTATGACTCTCAGCCTACCTTGGTAATCCTTATTTGATTGGATTACCAAACATTGCGTTAATTATTCTTAAATCTCTTATGTCACTTTGTTTAATTTAAATGCCCTTAATTTTTTTTCATATATATCGAATTCACAAATAAATCTGTGGTCAGATTATTAAACATTGTAAGTGGTGTGTACTTTTGTATCAGATTTTTAGTGATTACGTTTGACTGAAGTTCATGGTTATAGATAGCTGAATATTGAAAAAAAATGTACGTATAGGCGGTATAAAATGGTCTGTGTGCATGTGAGTATGTAGAAACGATTATAAAACATTTGTTACCCTTTCCACAAGAAGATACAGACAAATTAGGAATTCAGATTAATTATGATAAACCGGTGATACAAATCCTTCTTTCCCTAATAATCAAGATTTGCCACGCGTCATCTAACACCACGCATTCACGCCTGTTCAAGCTTTTTGGATACACCCACATATGTAGGGCTTCTGCAATCAGTCTTTCTTTATGTGAACCGACACCTTTCTGTAGAACCTTAGTCCTATCATCAAAGTCGATCTTGTGTCCCGTTTCTATGGCGTACAGTGCAATCGTCAATATGTTTTCTAGCCTCTTCAAGTCTGCAGATACAGGTCTTTGGACCCTCCTATAGACATTGTTTATGCTTCTCCACCCTTATTTTTACCTGTCTGGAAGTTTCTTCTAAATATACGGGGTCACAATTCCCACGATTGATTTAGTATACACAGTTTTGTTGTCTGGCTTCTTCTATTTTATTCTTAACCTTCACCAATGATGAGTGTAAAGTGTTAGTTGCATGAAAAAACACCCTTATTTCATGATTGTCAAAGATACGCTTTATCTCATCTTATGTTTCTTTGTGGTAGAGAATCACAGAGAATCCTCGAAATCTGTTAGCTCTAACATAGTGGAAGAGGAGCTGAGCACTCTGCATAAGAGATTTCCACCGAAAATAGTTACCTTGAATGCTTCATTAAACGTCCTCAAGGTTTACAAAACAAAACCTGAGACACTTTCCTCCTCCAAAAACTACACCATTTGAATCTGCAATTCAGTGAAGAATTATTGGTAGAAATACTAAAAAACCAATTTGTCCCGTCCACTTAGGAAAATATACTTTGCAGATGAACTTCAGTTTAACCTGTCTACAAAACACTGTTTCGAGTAAAAGTGAAGGATAAACTACCACTGTTGGCCTCATCTGTGGAGCTAGGTATGTCGATTGTACTCAGCGTTTGCCATCCAAACGTACCACAGAACATTTACTGTCATAATTTTACACGGGAGAAAACAGATCACCCTACACCTACATCTCGGAACGCCAGATTGATTCCAGACACCAAGCGGACCTACAAAGCAACTTCAGAGTCACCTACAGAGCAAGGAGGATTATTGCGGACGAATCCAACTGCCTCAAACCACATGACCCATAGTAATCCATATATTAAATATTGATTACTGCATAAGGAAGTAGTTTGTTCAGCCAGTGAACTCATGATGAACCTGATTTATCCAATCATTTGACAAATAAGTGTTTAATTTATTTCTACCCTTTTACCATTATTACACTTCTACTTCTTATGAAGATTCTCTTTACCTTCTTTCAATTCCAGTTGAACTCAATCCTGTCAATTATGTCTCATCAGTTAGTTTCGCCTTCGTCTCTACTTGAGTAGTGTTTCAGAGCTATGTTATTTAGAATCTCTCGACTGTTGCCTAAAAGTGAAGATTTTAATGACATGTATTCTGAAAAATTCCTTTCGTCACTACGAAAAAGTATAACACGTGTTCGATTTTACAGCCAAGGCAAATGATATCGCTGAAAGGAGTAACTATACACCGAACTTCTCCTTTATACGACTTAATGGCAACTTCTAGCTAATTAGGTTTTAATAATCGGGTGTTGGTTTCCAGGGATTTGATTGGTTCAGGTTTCATCACGGGATGACATCAGTTCGAGAACCATTAGAAAACCAGTATTCGAGTACTGGACAGCACTTTCGTCCCTGTTTGGGATTCTCAAACAGTGCCCACCAACAGCCAGGATTTGAACCTAGAATCCTTCCGTTACAACGCTAGCTTGCAGACCCCTCAGCCACTGGGATCTAGCCTAATAGTTCATGAATTCTAGCTTCTTCCAATTCGTAATATGTATCTGGCGCACCTGCCAGCCAGTGTGTCAGGTGAGTAACTGTCCCCCTACCTGACTCAGTGGACCTCGCTGGTTATGACTTCTCATTGGGACCTCAGGTACCCTCCTGTATGGGGCCAGTCGCTAGTGAGCATCAGATAAATTGTCAAGTGTAGGTTTGCAAAGATTCCATAAACTACAGGTTTGATCACGAGCTGATGTGTACTATGTATCGAGAATTGGCAGAAGTCGGAATTCATGGGCGTTTGTATCGGTTCCCTATGGTGTAATGATCTATGAGTTCGGCTTGTAACCAGAGGGTACTGTGTTCTACCCTCGTCATGGTCTTCTGTGAGTCCTATTGGACAGTAGCAAACTATAACGACACAGCTGTCCAGTGGTTATCTAACTGAAATCACCTCTTGGTAATTTTGTAGTAACTGATGATCACTTCTTGAAGGAATATGGTCTTATAGATTTCTCTGAAAAAGTAAAAGTAATTTCTCCTATTGGTTATACATTTATAGTTCTTCAACAACTTTAATGTCTTAGCCACTCTAAGTTACGTATTAAACTATTTCAATACCGAAACAGTCACTATTCTGTAGGTCTGAAAGTCAACTTACAGAATTAAATAGAAATAGGGTTGCCGACAATCCACCTCAAAGAACTTTTATTGAATTGCACGATGAATGTTCATTTCACCTTCAATAAAAAGATTTTTAGACAGAGAGATGGCGTTGCCATGGGAACACCACTGGGTCCCCTGCTGGCTTATTGTTTTATGGCAAAGGTTGAAAATTCTCAACTTAGTCAAACCACCGATCATTTATACATTTATAAAAGATAAGTAGACGACACTTTCCTTTTCTGCGATAATAAAGTAATTCTTGATGATGTCTTGTTCGCTTTCAACAACTACCACCCTTCTTTACATTTCACCATAGAAAAGGAATCTGAACTAAGTATTCCGTTTCTGGATGTGTGCCTCATTAGACGTAATGACGGATCTCTTAAAAGATCCATCCACTGGAAACGTACATGGAACGGACAACTAACTAATTTTTATTGTTGCGTGCCTATCTCCAGGAAAAGGGACCTAATTCATTCGCTCTGCTTTAGGATAAGGAACATTTGACTCAGAACTTGACTTCTTAAAAGCCACTCTCACAGAAAACGGTTACCCTAACCGATTTATTGACAGCAACATGAAAGATAAGCAGTGCAAAATGGTCACCGACTCAGTTCCAAAGAAAACCTTATTCATGAACTTGGATTTCAAATGTGATCAATCTTCAGATATGCTCAAAAATCATCTCTCTAAAGCAGTCAGTAAGACGTTCTTTGCAGCAAAATTACATATGATGTTCCCCAGCCGCAAGTTG